GACCCAGCAGCGGGGACAACACCATCTCCAAAATACCTGCACCTGTGGACACAGCGCCACGGACCCAGCAGCGGGGACAACACCATCTCCAAAATACCTGCACCTGTGGACACAGCGCCACGGACCCAGCAGTAGGGACAAGAGGTTCACATGTGCTTGAGATTCACAGTTCTGTTCCTCCTGCACTGTCTGGGGACTCCATGCTGGCATCAAAGCCAGGCCTGGGCACGTCCCATGTACCACCTTTCTTTTCAACCATCATTGTAGATGAATTCAAACAATTTTTCAATCAGCTTAAAAACACAAAATGCAACCTACTGAAAAGGTTTGGCAAAATAATTGCTTTGAAAATATGAAGGTATATTTTAGATATCACTGTGTCTTGTTACAATCGATTCTAATTGTGCATCTAATACCTCAAGCTCCTACTCACAAAGGCAATTACGTAAAGCCCACTGCTTATTTCAGAGAGCAAATTTTGTATTTTATTACTCTCTCTCTATATATATTTTTGAGACAGTCTCTCTCTTTAGCTCAGGCTGGAGTGCAGTGGCACGATCCTGACCTTGGCTCACTTCAAGCTCCGCCTCCCAGGTTCACGCCATTCTCCTGCCTCAGCCTCCCGAGTAGCTGGGACTACAGGCGCCCGCCACCACGCCTGGTTAATTTTTTTGTATTATTTTAGTAGAGATGGGGTTTCACCGTATTAGCCAGGATGGTCTTGAACTCCTGACCTCGTGATCCACTCGCCTCGTCCTCCCAAAGTGCTGGGATTACAGGCATGAGCCACCATGCCCGGCCTATTATTATTATTGAGATGGAGTCTCGCTCTCGCCCAGGCTGGAGTGCAGTAGTGTGATCTCAGCTCACTGCAAGCTCTGCCTCCCGGGTTCATGTCATTCTCCTGCCTCAGCCTCCCCAGTAGCTGGGACTACAGGCGCCACCACCATGCCTGGCTAATTTTTTGTACTTTTAGTAGAGACGGGATTTCACCGTGTTAGCCAGTTAGTAGAGATGGGGTTTCACCATGGTCCCAATCTCCTGACCTCGTGATTCACCTGCCTCGACCTCCCAAAGTGCTGGGATTACAGGTGTGAGCCCCCGAGCCCGGCCTCAGAGAGCAAATTTATGTTCTCAGAGTGTCTAATTATTAGAAACTATCTACTTCCAATACTTAATTACCAATTGTGTTTTCTACTAGAAACATGGGGCGCCCTGGGAAACTGTGAGAAACACTTCACAGCAGCTCCTCTAGCTGCCCCGGAAGGATGATCCGGAATCACGACCAGCCATGCTCCTTCAGAAGCTCTGTGATCATGTCAACAGTGTCCCATTTTCTTCTCTTTTTTATTTTTGAGATGGGGTCTCACTGTCACCCAGGCTGGACAGCGGTGGTGCACTGCAGGAGAAACCCACAGGGCTCCATGAGCATACCTGGGCTCACTGCAGCCTCGACCTCCTGGGCTCAAGTGATCCTCCGACCTCAGCCTCCCGAGTAGCTGGGACTACGGGTGCCCGCCACCGCGCCTGGCTAATTTTTAAAATTTTAGTAGAAGATGAGGTCTCACACTGTTGCCCAAGCTGGTCTCAAACGACTGAGCTCAGGTGATCCTCCCACCTCGGTCTCCCAAACTGCTGGGATTATAGGTGTGAGCCACCGCACCCGGCCAGAGAATTTCCAATAAAAGTAAAATGACAGCTTGGATTTGGTCGACAGTAAACACTTCTGCTTTCATCACAAACATGTAGCCCTTTTCCAGCGAGGGTCAGCCAGGCATGTTAATCCACAGGTGTGTGACACAGGCTGGCTCTTAGTCCCGCTGCAGCAGGGAGCAGGATCTGCTCAACAAGACTCTGAGGCCACACAGCCCTCAGGAGAGCCTAGCCCCATCATGACACCTTTTTCTGAAGCTCTTTAGGTTCCAATCGTTTCGCTGTTCAGCGAGTCCTCTCTGGCCTCTGTGGCCTCCTCAGTGGCAGGAAGGAGGCCAACCGAGCACCCAGAACACAGGAGCACAGAGAACCCTCTTCCAGCCACAAGCGAAGGCAACGCAGGGAAAATCCACATGCTCCATGAGCACACACAGGCGGATGCCTCGAGAGCCAGGCCAAGGAAGGTCTGCAAACAGGCCTTGCTCACGTTCTGGGGTGGTGTAAACCAGCACAACCCTGTCTGGTAACTGCCTGGCAGGATGTATCAAGTGCCGTACATAGTATTTAGTTTCTTTAATTCAAAAATCCTACTTCTGAAACTTTAAGGAAATGAACCTTAAGAAATTTGGGCCAGGCGTGGTGGCTCACGCCTGTCATCCCAGCACTGTGGGAGTCGACACCGGTGGATCACTTGAGTCCAGGAGTTAGAAACCAGCAGGGCAACATGGCGAAAACCCATCTCTACAGGGAAACAAACAAACAAACAAACAAAAGAAAACAACTTAGCTGGGGCTGTCACCCCAGTACTTTGGGAGGCTGAGGTGGGCGGATCACCTGAGGTCAGGAGTTCAACACCAGCCTGGCCAACATGGTGAAACCCCATCTCTACTAAAACTACAAAAATTAGCCAGGCGTGGTGGCACATGACCGCAAGCCCAGCTACTAGGGAGGCTGAGGCAGGAGAAGCGCTTAAACCTGGCGGGCGGAGGCTGCAGTGAGCTGAGATTGTGCCACTTCACTCCAGCCTGGGCAACAAAGAGTGAAACTCCATCTCGAAACAAACAAACAAAAGCACTCTAGGCATAAAGGCCCTTCCTCTGCCTGGAAGGCCCCTGCCTCCTTCCCATGAAGTCCTCAACTTCTGTCCAGCCCAAACCTCCAGCACGTCCCTTCCACTGAGCTGCCTGACGCACCTCTTCCTGCCACGCCGCCAGTGTTGTGGCCATTTGTGCCTGCGCAGCCAGCACTGCAGGCACCTTCCTCCTGTGTGCTTCCCGGACGGTTATTCAGGACGCTCAGATGAGCTGCCAGCTCACAGAGAACGGGGGGTGTGACCTCAGCACCTGCTGCTTGTGTTCCTGAGGCAGTGCCGCCGCCAAGGCACTCAAGAAATGCACATGCCTCCTGAGCCTCATGCACACCTCCTGGACGGCGGCCTTCAGGACGACTGGCAAGTTTTGTTGCCAAAATCCCTCTTCGAGGAAAAAAAAGTCAATTGTTGACAATTAGATATTATGATCACATGACTCATCTCAATCAGTCATCTAAAAACAAACAGCTGATAGCCGGGCACGGTGGCTCACACCTGTAATTCCAGCACTTTGGGAGGCTGAGACGGGCAGAGCATGAGGTCAGCAGATCGAGACCATCCTGGCTAACACGGTGAAACCCCGTCTCTACTAAAAATACAAAAAAAATTAGCCGGGCGTGGTGGTGGGCATCTGTGGTCCCAGCTCTCGGGAGGCTGAGGCAGGAGAATGGCATGAACCCGAGAGGCGGAGCTTGCAGTGAGCCAAGATCGCGCCACTGCACTCCAGCCTGGGCGACAGAGCAAGACTCTACATCCAAAAAAAAAAAAAAAAAGGCTGATACTACTGAGTCCCAAGGAAGCAGCCACAGGGGCCACACCAGGCTTATCCCACTCCGAAACCGCCCCTGACGGCAGCAGCCCCAAGTGCCACACCTGACCTGATAGACGAGAGCCCTCCGGGGCAGGGGCTCCACCTTGAGGCATTCACACTGCACAGGAAAGGGGGCGTTTTCCACAAGCAGCTCTGTGAAAATGTTAGGAACTGCTGCCGGCACGGTGGCTCACGCCTGTAATCCCAGCACTTTGGGAGGCTACGGCGGGTGGGTTACCTGAGGTCAGGAGTCCGAGACCAGCCTGACCAACATGGAGAAACCCCATCTTTACTAAAAATACAAAAAAAATCAGCCACGTGTGGTGACGCATGCCTGTAATTACTCGGGAGGCTGACGCAGGAGAATCGCTTGAACCCAGGGAGCAGACGTTGTGGTGAGCCAAGATCACGCCATTGCACTCCAGGCTGGGCAACAAGAGCGAAACTCCGTCTCAAAAAAAGAAAACAAAAAAATGTTAGCAACCACTTTTTTTCTAGTTAAATTTCTGACCGTGAAGTAACTGTAGTTTCACATGAAGTTGTAAGAAATGGCACAGAGCAGGCTGGGCACGGTGGCTCACGCCTGTAATCCCAGCACTTTGGGAGGGCCAAGGCGGGCAGATCACAAGGTCAGGAGTTCGAGAGCAGCCTGGCCAACATGGTGAAACCCCATCTCTACTAAAAGCAAACAAAATTAGCTGAGTGTGGTGGTGCATACCTGTAATCCCAGCTCTTCAGGAGGCTGAGGCAGAAGAATTGCTTGAACCCAGGAGGTGGAGGTTGCAGTGAGCAGAGATCGAGCCACTGCACTCCAGCCTGGGTGACAGGGAGACCCCGTCTCAAAAAAAAGAAAGAAAGAAAGAAAGAAAGAAATAAGAAAGAAATGACACAGAGCAGTACCTTGTCCACCTGCTCCCAGTGGTTCCATCTTGCAAAACTATGAACAGCATCACAGCTGGGCTCTCCCACCACGACAGTCCGCCAAGCTCCCTGGGGTCGTCCCGTGACACACGCGCAGTGTGCATGCTTATGTGCTCACCACAGCCCAGGCAGGCAACAGTCCAACCACAGGCTCCCTTGGGCTGTCTTCCCTCCCCATCCTTAGCTCCTAGCAACCACGAATCTATGTTCCATCTCTTTAATTTTTGTCTTTAGAGAATGCTCTATAAAAAACTGAAAACCATATGGAATGTGATCTTTCGGGTCTGCCTTTTTTCACTCAGCACAATTCCTTCCAGATTCACCCGCATTATCAGTGAGTGGTATTCCAAGCAACTACTTTTCTACTTTTTGGGTAACCACTACTTACAATCATTCTGCACAGCTGGCAAAGCTGTTTCTAAGCCACATTCAGTATGGTTCTTTCATTTAAGGAGGTGGCAAAAGAATCTTCACGTGAACAGACGCGATGCAGTTCAGCATCCGACCATGATGAAGGCCTGTCCAAGGGCCGGAACTGTGCATGTCTGATGTGCTGTGCGTGTCTGATGTAGTCAACAGTCCTGAAAACCCACACAAACCAACTACCCCCGCAACCACAGCAGAAGGCCCAGGGGAAACCCAGAATAGGTTCTCACAAGAACGATTATTTGGCTCAGTAAACAATTATCCTCTAATGCAAATTTAACAGACATTATTTTCTCAAAGCAAACCACAGTTCAACCCAAAATAGAATAAACGTAAGACAATCACTTGGCCAGGCAAGGTGGCTCATACCCATCATCCTAGCACTTTGGGAGGCCGAGGCAGGCAGATCACGAGGTCAGGGAGATCGAGACCATCCTGGCTAACACGGTGAAACCCTGTCTCTACTAAAAATACAAAAAATTAGCCGGGCATCGTTGCGGGCGCCTGTAGTCCCAGTTACTTGGGAGGCTGAGGCAGGAGAATTGCTTGAACCCGGGAGGCAGAGGCTGCATTCAGCCAAGATCGTACCATTGCACTCTAGCCTGGGCAACAGAGTGAGACCCTGGCAAAAAAAAAAAAAAAAAAAAAAAAAAAAAAAAAAAAAAAAAAAAGTCAAAGGACACACTTTATTGAAATGCTGAAGAATACAGGGGAAGAGCCCTGAAATCAATTCAAAACAATTTCGTATGAAGATTCAGAAGTCTTTTAAAAGATAGTTCTGAGTGGCTGTAGGCACTGACACTTACTGTAAAACCAACAGTACGCTGAAGATGAGCCTAAAGCCAGAAACACCTAAACTGAATCCACCTGAGAACACTGGTGTCCCTTCCCGCAGTTATGACCTCCCCTTGAGAGACCAGCAGGGAGAGTCAGAGCTCCTCTCGCACAGAGTAAAGCTGTCCCTGGTCTTGGCAAATGCAGCGTCTCACCCAAAATCAACTAACCAGGACATCACTCCGGAAACAAACTCCTGCTAAACTCGAATTCACAATAACCATCCCATCATCCAGTAGCCGAACCATCATTTCTACATCCTGAAAGCTTTCCTGAAAATCAACATGGGAAAATAAAAGTCTGTATGACAGTTCCTCACTCTCTTCAAAGGTCAGGTGTCTTTCTAGAAAGATGAGCTCTGCTGCGCAGGGCGTCCATCTGCCAACGCTGATTTCCAGCGAGAGGCCTCAAGGATCCAAAAGCAAAGCATTCCTGAAGCTGACTTCCACCCTGACGCCCCTTGGAGCTGTGAATCTGAAGCTGGGCCTCCAACTCCTGGGCTCAAGCGATCCTCCTACCTCCTGAGTAGCTACGACTACAAGTGCACACACCACCATGCCTGGCCAATTATTTTTTTTTTCCTTTTTGTGTAGATAGGGTCTTTTTAAATTTAAATTTTCTTTTTTTTTTCTTTTTGAAACGGAGTTTTGCTCTTGTTGCTCAGGCTGGAGTGCAGTGGTGTGATCTCGGCTCACAGCAACCTCCACCTCCTGGGTTCAAGCAATTCTCCTGCCTCAGCTTCCCGAGTAGCTGGGATTACAGGCGTGCGCTATCATGCCCGGCTAATTTTGTATTTTTAGTAGAAATGGGGTTTCGCCATGTTGGCCACGCTGCAGGTGATCCGCCCGCCTCAGCCTCCCAAAGTGCTGGGATTACAGGTATGAGTCACCGCACCCGACCTTTTATTTTAATTTTTAGTGAGATAGGGTCTCGCTATGTGGCATAGGACTCAAGTGATCCTTCCACCTGGGCCTCCCAAAGCGTTTCGATTACAGGTGTGAGCCGCTGTACCCGGCCCATCTCCCCACTTTCCAGACTGGTTTCACCTTGCTCAGAGAACAGAGATGTGAAGACAGCCAGAGGGAGTCACTGACTGAAGAATATTAGATGAATGTACCTTCGTCCTCTTCAGGAGCCTTCCCCTTCGACTTATCCTTCTCCTTATTCTTCTGCTTCATCCTTGAGGTGTTAAAATAGAAAGTACCACCTATAAGAAACAGAGGAAGGATTTAACAATTGAGGTTTGCAACCACAGGGGAGGCATACAGGAGAACAGTGTACTCCTAAATAAACAAAGCAAACCAGAAACCATCTGAAAAACCTACTTATAGCCATAAGATTTATAAATTTGAAATAAAGTATTTCCCATATCACTTAGTCCAGTATTTAATAATTACAGAATAATAAACTATTTTAACTTATGAAGTTGAATATCTTTGCTATTTAAATTGCTAATGGGAGGGAACAAAAGGTAGTTATGAACACAAATTTGGGAAAATATCACAAATCCCTTTAATAGATGAAGTTGCTTTAAAATAACTTAAAACAGGTCAGGCGCAGGACCTCATGCCTGTCATCCCACCACTTTGGGAGGCCAAGGCAGGTGGATCACGAGGTCAGGAGTTCAAGACCATCCTTGCCAAGAGGGTGAAACCCTGTCTCTACTAAAAATACAAAAATTAGCCGGACATGCTGGCAAGCGCCTGTAATCCCAGCTACTCCGGAGGCTGAGGCAGAATTGCTTAAACCTGGGAGGCGGAGGTTGCAGTGAGCTGAGATCGCACCACTGCACTCCAGCCTGGGTTACAGAGCAAGACTCTGACTCACAAGTGGCTTCCAGAGAGGTGGCAACAGCAACAGCCCAGCCACCACCAAGAGGGGTTGGTACGACACTCCTCGCCCAAAATCTGAACAATCAGCGTTTACAAATGGAGGAGGCCAGGCGCAGTGGCTCACGCCTGTAATCCCAGCACTTTGGGAGGCCAATGGAGGAGGATGGCTTGAGCCTAGGAATTCAAGACCAGCCAGGGCAACATGGGCAAAATCTCATCTCTTAAAAAACAACGATAACAAATGTAGCTGTACATAGTGACATATGCCTGACCTCCCAGCTACTCAGGAGGTTGAGGTGGGAGGAACACCTTCGCCCAGGAGGTTGAGGCTGCAGTGAGTAGAGACTGTGCCTGGGCAACAGGGCAAGACCCTGTCTCAAAGAATGACAAAAATAGGGAGAGTTTCACAACCATGACCTGAAATGTAACTTTCTTCAGAAAGACATGAACGGGTTCACCAATGAAACGACCCTGGTTGCCACTTGCACGTAACCTCAGGTGTTGAGAGGGCTGAAGCGTGTGCTTCCTGTTTACAGCCACGGGCACCCATGGGCTGACATTAAACACTGACAGCAGATGGGCAGGTTGCTGACGCACAGCCAGTCAATGGGCACAGCACTCTCCCTACCCATGTGTTGGCACAAGGCTGTTTAATGTCAGGAGTAGAAATATTTTACTTTTTCCCTGCTCCAACCCCATTAAGGGGAGCGAGAAATAAAGGTGAGAGGTGTCGATCCTTCAGGTTCTTTAACCTAAAGTCAAGGGAGACCAAAGAATGTCATGAGGTTTCATAAAAGATTTATTGAAGAGCAAATTATTTGCAGGGTATTTTTAGTGATTGTGTGGATATAAAACATCTGAAGCCACTTTGTAAATCCTTAGTAAACATTCTTGCAGCTGACTAAGTAACATGAAAAACCTTTCCCAAGCAGCCCAATTACTGGAATACAGCAGAATTTTTTTAAAACAAGGACAACTTGGGCAGGTGCGGTGGCTCACGCCTGTAATCCCAACACTTTGGGAGGCCAAGGAAGGCTGACCGCTTGAGTCCAGTTCAAGACCAGCCTGGGAAACGTGGCAAACTCCCATCTCTACAAAAAAAAATACCCCCCAAAAATTAGCTAGGCGCTGTGGTGTGTGCCTGGAGTCCTGGCTCTAGGGAAGGTTGAGGTGGGGGGATCACTCGAACTCTAGAGGTCAAGGCTTTACAACTGCGGGTTAAGGAAGTAAAGAGGCCCCTTTGGGCCTGGACCACAGAGTGAGACCTCATCTCTACAAAAGATAATTAGCCAAGTGTGACGGTACACGCCTGTAGTGCTAGCTACTGCAAAAGCAAAGCAGGGAAGATCATTCGCGCCCAGGAGTTCTAGGCTGTAGTGAGCTCTGATCACACCACTGCACTCCAACCTGTGCAACAAGGTGAGATCCCGTCTCTAAAATAAAATAATTAAAAAAAAGAAAACAATCTCTGCTTGTCGCTTCTGTATTTTTTTGTTTAGAAACAGAGTCTCACTCCGTCACCCAGGCTGGAGTGCAGCGGCAGCCTCAGCCTTGAACTCCTGGGCTCAAGCGAAACTCTGGCCTCAGCCTCCCAAGCAGCTGAGGCTATAGGCGTGCACTGTCATGCTCAGCTGCTTCTTTCAACAGATACTTACCTAAAAGTTGCCAGAGTCTGACTGGATTCTGAACTAAATGTTGTTTCAACAACAATCCGTAGATCCCTTCAAAGGTAGAGGTGAGCAGTCTCAACTGTAAGCTCTGAAAAAAACCCAACACTGGAAGTCACACTAACATTAGAGATTAGCAAAGCAATGCAGACTAAACATCGGTTTTAAAAGTTCAAATAGATATTTGTAGTATCTACATTGCCCTGAAATATGAAATAATAGTCTGAGCAATATTTCAAAGCTTTAGGTAACATCAAAATGTCAAAAGCAAGTAAAGAGGTTAAAACACAGTAATTGGCCAGGCGTGGTGGCTCACGTCTGTAATCCCACCACTGCGGAAGGCCGAGGTAGGTGGATCACCTGAGGTCAGGAGTTCGAGACCAGCCTGGCCAACATAGTGAATCCCCATCTCTAGTAAACGCACAAAAATTAGCCAGGCGTGGTGGTGCACGCCTGTAATCTCAGCTACTCGGGAAGCTGAGGCAGGAGAATCACTTGAGCCCGGGAGGTGGAGGCTGCAGTGAGCCGAGAGAGCGCACTTCAGCCTGGGCGACAAAGGGAGACTCTGTCTCAAAATACAAACAAATGAACAAACAAAAAATCACAATAGTGGCCAGGCTCGGTGGCTCATGTCTGTAATCCCAGCACTTTGGGAGGCTGAGGTGGGAGGATCACTTGGGCCCAGGAGGCAGAGGCTTCAGTGAGCCATGACCAGGCCACTGCACTCCAGCCTGGGCGACACAGCGAGACTCTGTCTTCAAAAAAACCAAAGCAACAAAACAAAAAAACAAAAAAACAAACAAAAAAAAAAACCACGGAAGAAAGAAAACGAAAACACACAAGTGCACTGGCTGCTATCCCACGGCCTGAAGCTTCTGCAGGGGAAAGGGAGCGGCACAGCTCTCCAAAGGCCCACAGTGGCTGCCCAGACCCGGAGCTCCTGCTGTCACCAGAAAGTGGCTCTTTGTAGGACATTTCCAGGTACTAAACCAGTTAAAAAGTATATACTTTCAGCGTTCTCCTTTCAAGATAAACATTTACGCATTTAGATATGTTTTATGGCCGGGCACGGTGGCTCACGCCCTGTAATCTCAGCACTTTGTGAGGCCGAGGCGGGCGGATCACAAGGTCAAGAGATCGAGACCATCCTGGTCAACATGGTGAAACCCCGTCTCTACTAAAAATACAAAAATTAGCTGGGTGTGGTGGAGCGCACCTGTAATCCCAGCTACTCGGGCGGCTAAGGCAGGAGAACTGCTTGAATGCAGGAGGCGGAGGCTGCAGTGAGTCAAGATCGCACCACTGCACTCCAGCCTGGAGACACATCGAGATCTCTGTCTCAAAAATAACCTAACAAACAACAACCTAAAAGGTATGGGCTAAGTTCCTAGGTGAGGACTAAGAGAAGAAAACATCGACCCAAAAGCTCAAGGACACAGGGTCTGGTTTTCGGGAGGAGATGCTATCCTATCCTCAGCAGAACCTGAAACAAGAAATCTCCACAGGCGGTGCTCAATGACTTTCTATCAATAACGTGCCAAGCTACATTACAACAGCAACATGCAGCCACAGGGCATTTTGCGCACACAGAAACGTTCTGGGCCCCCAACTCGGCAGTGACCACCCTAACTGGAAGGCGCTGGAATTCCTGGTGATGGAATCGATCCACAGGCGCGGACTGTAAATTATCGCTCCGCTCCGCCGGAAACCGTTACAGGATTCCACTTTAAAACGCCACAGGGGGCCGGGCGCGGTGGCTCAAGCCTGTAATCCCAGCACTTTGGGAGGCCGAGACGGGCGGATCACGAGGCCAGGAGATCGAGACCATCCTGGCTAACACGGTGAAACCCCGTCTCTACTAAAAAATACAAAAAACTAGCCGGGCGAGGTGGCGGGCGCCTGTAGTCCCAGCTACTCGGGAGGCTGAGGCAGGAGAATGGCGTGAACCCGGGAGGCGGAGCTTGCAGTGAGCCGAGATCACGCCACTGCACTCCAGCCTGGGCTACAGACCGAGACTCCGTCTCAAAAAAAACCCAAAAACAAACAAAAAAAAAACGCCACAGGGAGACAGGTAGAGAACATCCACGGAAGGGTTAGGAAACCGCACGCCGAGGACTGAGCGGATCCCAGACCCGCCTCTTCCCGGCCCGCCCAGCGCCCACGCTCCCGGGCCCCAACAGTCGCTCCGCGCCGAGGTCCGCAGCTGGAGGATCCGCGGGCCCACAGGCGTAGGCTCCCACACCTCAGGGGCCAGGCGGCCTCCGACCCGCCCCGCCGGGCGCGGCCGTACAGAGCAGAGCGGGGCGGGAGGTGGGCCCGGACACCGCGGGGATTTATACCTGCAGGGCTCGGCCTCCAGCCTCGGCGAGGTCCCCCGGAGGCCTGCTGGCCAAGTACGGCCGCCCCCTCCAGGACCCGGCGGGGAACCCTGGACTCCAGCCCGCGCCTGGGCCCCACAGCCGCCCAGGACCCGGGCCTGGACCCCGGCGGAGGGCGCGGAGCAGCAGCAGCACGGCCATGTTGGCCTGAAAACCACGCCTGCGCGGTCCGCGGGGCGCCACGAGGCGCCTGCGCGGCGGCGGTGGGCGGGGCCTGACTAGGCGCCTGCGCGGTTCTCACGGTTCCGCCCCGCCGCACCCGGGCCCGAGCCCGCCTCCCTTGCGGCTGCCTGAGGCCTCGGTACAGTGGCGCGCGTCTGCGAGGAGGCCGCGGGTCCCCTGGCTTTTTTTTTTGGACGCCGGCCTTGTATTTCCGGGGCCCTGCGGGTGAATAACCGGCCGGGTCGTGGCTGCGTGGTCGCGTTCCGCCCGCGCCGAGAGGCCTCCCGCCCGGGCAGCCTCCGTCACCCGCAGGGCTCGGTTACAGGCGAGGGCGGACGGCGCGGGCCGGAATCCCGTCTGCGAGGAGAGGCCCGCGCTGAGGAGGGCGGCGCGGGAGGCCTCGGGTCGGGAGGGCCCCTGCGGGGCTGAGGAGCACAGGAAGGGGGCGGTTTTCCTGCGTCTTGAGCCTCCCGAGGACGAGGACTGGAGTTGCAGCCGCCGCAGGAAGGGCAGCCCCGGAGGAGGAAGGTCGGGAGGCGGGGAGCGCGCGGCGCGGCCTGGCAGGCGTCTGCAGAGCTCTGACTTCGCAGCGCACCGTCCCGTCCCCTCGGACTGACTCACCGCGGAGGCGCTTCGGGCCTCGGTCCTGCCCCGGGTCTCTGTGCTGCCCCGGGCGCTGCGCGAGCCCATCGTGGGAAGCCGGGAAGAGGCGCTGTTCTCCTCGGGGTCTGCACTCCGGGCCCGGGCAGGGTCCCTCGTGGGCTCCTCCACCACCCCCACCCCTTCCTCCGTCCGCCTTAGGTCTAGAGCTGACGCCAAGAACTGGAAAGCTCGTTGAGTAGGAAAAGCAAAGACTAGACGGTCTGTCACAGAGGTAGCGTGAGGGTGACCGATTTATTTTTATGCTTTTCTGTGTTCCCCAAATTCATAACAATGAATGCTGAGAACGACAGCCAGCATCACCGAGTGCCTAGCTCCGTGTCGAACACCCATGTCATGCAACCCTATGCAGCAAATACCTCTGTTTTACACGGAAGGAAACGGATTCAGAAGCATTGGAAGTAACCTGCCCAGGATCACAGCTCTGAAGTTAAGGCAGAATTTCGGGGCCGGTCTGGTTGGTTTCTGGACCTGCACTCACTCCACCACTACAGACGAGACTGCAAAGCCTGTAGGCTGCGTGTAATCCTCCCTCTTCTGCAGCCCCGAAATGCTCAGGAAAGTGTTTTCAGTATCGTGGTTATCCGCCCTCAGCCCTCCAGTGGGCCGGGTGCCTCTGCAGAGGTGCTCGTGGCTGGGGAGGGCCTCCCCCCAAACCCAGGGCTAACACTGATTTTCACAACTGAACCGCTTTTCCTTTTGCTTCTTATTGTACAGTCTGCCTTCGCAATGAATCCAACCTTGCCGTTTCCTCTTCCACTATTTTTTTCTTTCCCTGATTTAAAGACACCAGGTGGGCCGGGCGCGGTTCCAGACTCCGTCTCAAAAAAAAAAAAAGACTCCGTCTCAAAAAAAAAAAAAAAGACATCAGGTGGACTTGGTCAGAGGGCTATAACATCGTCCTGCTGTCACCCTCCAGCCTTGTCCCATGACCAACCTAACCGAACTTCCAAAAGAGTTTTTTGTGTCCAAGAAGTGACCGAGCTCCACAACCCCTTATGCCTGTGCGTTCAGAGGATTTGTGACTTTTTCTTTGAGGTGGAGTCTCGCTCTGTCGCCCAGGCTGGAGTGCAGTGGCGCCGATCTCGGCTCACTGCAAGCTCTGCCTCCTGGGTTCGCACCATTCTCCTGCCTCAGCCTCTTGAGTAGCTGGGTCTACAGGCGCCCGCCACCAAGCCCGGCTAATTTTTTCTATTTTTAGTACAAACGGGGTTTCACAGTGTTAACCAGGATGGTCTCGATCTCCTGACCCCGTGATCCGCCCGCCTCGGCCTCCCAAAGTGCTGGGATGACAGGTGTGAGCCACTGCGCCCAGCCGAGGATTTGTGACTCAAAGTCCACACATTTGGATGTGTTTGGGAAGAGTTTTAAGATGTAGTCCTATTAATATTGTCTGAGATAATTTAAAATTGTTTCCTGGCAATTCATCAGAAGCAGTGTGGGGTGTTGGCAAGAGGCCTCCTCTGGGAAAAGAACACTGGGTTCTGTCCTTCTCGGCCTATGACCTTAAGCAAGTTGTTAACTTCCCCAAGCCTCAATCTTCTCAGCAGTAAAATGGGGATGATAATTATTTGCAAAGCAAGGCTAATATCAGCCTTGGGTTTCCCACAGGGTGGTTATAAAGATAAAATGCAATAAATGTGTGTGAGGGCAATTGATGAGCCAGGAAGCCTTGGCATCCAGAGTTGTGACTAGGATGTCATGGGAAATGAGGGTATGAGAACAGAGTATTGATGCATTTATTCAAACTCATCTGTTTAACAACCGTGCTTTGAAGGCTGGCTGCGTCCCAGGCCCTACAGGTGAACTGTGACTCTCACTTTCAGCCCCGGCTGTAGTGGCAGGCAGCAGAGGCTCATGTGGCCTCAAGCAATAGGGGTTTTGTTTAAGGATCTGGGTGCCCCATGGTTTGGGGGTTTTGTTTTTGTTTGGGTCCATGATTTGGATTCAAGAAGAAGATCTGTAGGAGAGCGGCCTCCCGGGTCTGCTTTTGCCCTCAGAGCCTGCAGCAGAGCAGGACGTTCACCTTCCCTTCTCCACCCTGTGTGTTATTTCTGTGCTTCCTAACTGCTGCTTGCTCATTTGTACCTCCGTGTCACCCCTCCTCAGCCCTCTGAACTCTGCTCTCGGACTTCCCTTCCCTGCCTGCTCTCTAGATAGGCAGTCTCTTGGTGACTCCTGGTTTGGGTCAGGGCATGCCTTAGGTCTCTGGATGGCTACCAACCCCAGGTTCCCTCAGCTCTAGCCCCATCAGAGAGGAGGCCTCAGGAGCGCCTAGGGCAGCCCTGGGCTGTGGGAAGGGCAGGTGGGCAGCGAGGAGGCCCCATTCCTTTGTTCCCTGTTAATGCAGCAGCGTCCTGTGCTCTGTCCCTTATTCCTGCTGTTGGCTGAAGGACTTCAGGCAAGCTGCTCTACAAACTTCAGTTGCTTCACCTATCAAATAGTATTTTTTTTTTTTTTTTTTGAGACGGAGTCTTGCGCTGTCGCCTAGACTGGAGTGCAGTGGCGCGATCTCGGCTCACTGCAAGCTCCGCCTCCCGGGTTCACGGATTCTCCTGCCTCAGCCTCCTGGTAGCTGGGCAGTACCGGCACCCGGCCACGCCCCGGCTAATTTTTTTGTATTTTTTAGTAGAGATGGGGTTCACCGGGGTCCTCGATCTCCTGACCTCGTGATCCGGCCCGCCTCGGGCCTTCCAAGTGCTGGGATTACAGGGCGTTGGCCACTGCGCCCAGCCTCAAATAATATATTAACATTCTGGAGGACAGAAGTTGATCTTTGGGACTTTTTTTTGGTTTTAAGATTGCTGGCTGGCTGGGGCGGCTCATGCCTGTAATCCCAGCTTCAGGGCGGAGGCGGGGGGATCATGGAGTCAAGAGATTGAGGCCATCCTGGCTAACATGGTGGAACCCCGTTCTCTACTAAAAATAGAAAAAATTAGCTGGGCGTGGTGGGGCGTGCCTTGTAGTCCCAGCCCTCGGGAGGCTGAGGCAGGAGAAATCACTTGACAGCCTGAGAGGCAGAGCTCCATCTAAAAAAAAAAAAAAAAAAAAAATCTAGGCTTCTGGCTGGGTGCTTAAGGGCCATGCCTGTAATCCCAGCACTTTGGGAGGGCACAGCAGGCAGATCACTTGAGGTCAGGAGTTCAAGACCAGGCTGGCCAACATGGTGAAACTGTCTCTACTAAAAATACAAAAAGATTAGCCAAGCGTGGATGAACTTTCCATCTTTTTTTCTTTTTCTTTGAGATGGAGTTTCGCTCGTTGCCCAGACTGGAGTGCAATGGCGCGATCTCGGCTCACCACCACCTCTGCCTCCTGGGTTCAAGCCATTCTCCTGCCTCAGCCCCGAGTAGCTGAGATTATAGGCGCGTGCCACCACACCCGGCTAATTTTGTATTTTCAGTAGAGACGGGGTTTCTCCATGTTGGTCAGGCTGGTCTTGAACTCCGGACCTCAGGTGATCCGCCTGCCTCGACCTCCCAGAGTGCTGGGATTACAGGCATGAGCCACCACACCCGGCGGAAAGTCCATTTCTGCTAGCAAGAAACCTGTACAGGAATTTGAGCGTGACTAAATAATCATGTATTCCTCAGTGTTTCTTTAGACTGTTGGGTGTTGGACTTTGGACAGGTGTTCAAGGACCTGGAAGGGACAGCCTATGTCCTCTCCACGTGACGGGAATCCCCACGGCCCTGGGCAGTGCATTCCAAGTTCGCCAACGTGGCAACTTAAAACAACAAATACTTATCTCACTCTGTTTCTGAGGGTCAGGAATCTGGGAGCGGCTCGACTGGACCGTTTAGTCTCTTGGACTGGACGAGCTTGCAGTCCAGCTGATTGATGGCCAGGGCTGTGGTCGTCTGAAGCTTGACTGGTGCTGGAGGACCTGCATCGCGTCCAGGGTGGAGAACTTATGCAGCTGCTGCCAGGAGGCCTCAGCTCCTCGTCACGTGGGCCCTTCCCCAGAGCCAGTGACCAGAGGGCAGGAGCCACAGCCTTTTCTATCCTCAACTCAGAATTGACCGTCACCTCTGCCAAATTGGTCGCCAAAACCCACCCTTGGACAATGTGGGAGGGACTGGCTGGGGTGTGAGTATCCAGTGACGGGGTCATGGAGGGCCAGCTGGGCTGCTGAGCATATTGATGATTGTATTGAGATCTGCTCAGCAAGACGTATCCAGGCAGCTCCTCATGGCTCCTGACCATGTGGACCAGGCACAGGCCCAGCCTTCACAGCCACACTGATCAACTCAGGAACAGAAAGTCAAACCTGTTAAGTCCGTCCTCTCGATTTGTATTTGGAGAAGAGACTTTGCCTTTTAGGTCCCAGAGCTAGAAGGGTGAACTGTGAAGAGAGCTGTTAGCATCTTTCCACCTGGCGAGGAAGCCAGCCATGGCTGAAGAGGACCAGGCCCACAGAGTGGAAAAGAAGCCAGGAGATGAGCGT